ATTGCTTGCTGTAATTCAAAATTGAAACTTCAATTACCCTCCCCACCCAGCTAATTTTTAGTAAGTGCCACTGACTTCAGCATTTGGTTGTAAGAGCTTCATTTGATCAAAGCTAAGTATTAGGGTTTTTTGTTTTCAAGTTCAAAGAGATGGTGGTTTGGAAGACCAAAATTTTGAACGTTTTATTTAAAAGTCTTTTTTGTCCAATGTAGATTTGGAATGGAAAATCATTTATGTGGGCTCAGCAGAAAGTGAGGAATTCGATCAAGTTTTAGATTCAGTATTAGTAGGCCACGAAGCGCCTCTTTCCAGTGCGCCTCGCCTCGCTTCACGCCTGCCTCTCCTCTTTCTCCTCTCTGGCTCATTCTCTCTCATTCCCCAAGCGGCGCCCCTTGCACGAAGGTTATCTGGGAACCTGGGATTGGATCTGTAGTATAGCGGGGGTTAATATTCTTTAGGAGGGGTTTCTCCCACTAAGCTCCCCCAAAAATGTCGGCTCACATTAAAAAAACGAAAGTTGATTCTGAATGCTGTGTTTTCAACAAGACATGGACTGCTAAATATTTATTTACGGAAGTCGAAGGCAAAGCCGTTTGCTTAGTTTGTGGTACAGTTGAAAGATTATAATCTGAATTGCCACTATGTGACCAAACATGAGGATAAATATAGGAATTTGTCTGACCAAGAGCGAGCAAGGAGTCAGAGATTTTGCCATCCAAGCTGCAAACTCAACAAACACTTTTTACAAAACTTAGCACATCTAGAGATACAGCTACCAAAGCAAGTTATGTCATATCTCATAAAATAGCTAAACGAAGTAAACCGTTTTTTGACGGAGAGTTTATTAAAGAGTGTTTGGTGGACTCTGCTGAGCTAATATGTCCAGAGAAAAAGGGTGCGTTTGAGAACATCCCTCTGTCCTGGCGTACTGTGACGAGAAGGGTTGAGGACATTGCAGGAAATTTGGAGTTTCAGCTGAAGAACAGAGCAGTTACGTTTTCCTTTTTTACCCTGGCTCTGGATGAGAGCTGCGATGTACGAGATACTGCCCAGCAACTCATCTTCTTACGTGGGATCACTGCAGACTTCAAAATAATGGAGGAACTGGCAGCCATGCAGTCAATGAAAGGGACAACAACAGGGAGTGATTTCCTAACAGAAGTAAATGCATGTTTAGACAAGTTGGGACTGAAATGGGACAAACTTGTAGTGTGACAACAGATGGTTGTCCAAATCTGACGGGGAGAAATGTTGGACTTTTGAAGAGAATGCAGGATACAGTTACCAAAATTAACCCTGAGCAGAAATCGACATTTTTGCATTGTATTATACATCAGGAAGTTTTGTGTAGGTCAGTATTAAAAATGAACCATGTTGTTGATGTTGTAACTAAAACCATTAACTTCATCAGAGCAAGAGCACTGAATCACAGACAGTTGTTGCACTATTGGAGGAAAATGAGTCTGAACATCGTGACATCAGCTACCACACAAATGTCAGGTGGCTGAGCCTGGGAAAAGTCCTGAAAGTTTTCTGGGACCTGAGAGAGGAGATCTGGAACTTCTGTGAGAACAAGGGAAATGACATCCCTCAGCTTTCAGATGCAGACTGGCTGGCAGACCTTAGTTTTTCTGTAGAAGTGACTTCTTGGATGAATGACCTGAATGTCAAACTGCAATGCAAGGGCCTTTTTGTGCATGAAATGTACAGCGCAGTGAAGGCTTTCATGAGAAAGTTGCAGCTTCTCTCAAGCCAAATGGGGAACAATATTCTTACTCACATGCCAACACTGAAGGAAGCCAAACCATCAGCTGATCACCCCCACAGGTACTCATCCATGTTAGAAGCACTGCATGCTGAGTTTTCAAGGCGATTTCAAGACTTCAAAACACTTGAGAGTGAAATGGACATGGTTTCTTCTCCCTTCAGCTGCAATGTGGATAATGCACCCAGTGATGTTCAGATGGAACTCATTGACTTGCAGTCTGACACACTTCTGGCAGCGCACTTTAGTTCTGTCCCACTGCTTGAGTTTTACTCATCACTCAAGAGGAGAACTTTCCACACGTGAGGAAACATGCTCTGAAAATTCTAGTCCTCTTTGGATCTACCTACATATGTTAACAGACATTCTCAGTGATGAAGTTCAACAAATCCAGACACAGATCCTCTATCACTGATGACCACCACTCAGCTGTCCTTCGCATAGCCACCTCAGATATTCCGCCAGATTTCAGTGCACTTGTTCAAGCCCAAGACAGACTGGATTTCTCCCACTGAACAGGTAAATGATTCTTATATATAATTTGCTGCATTTTATAATGGGCCCTTTATAATGGGCTTTTATAAAATTGGTTCGGCCCTCGAACACAGATCTGATTTTCCATGTGGCCCCCGACAGAAATTAATTTCCCACCCCTGTACTATAAGGTACAGTACCTTGCTGCATATGTTCCTCAATGTGGACATAGACCTATTAAGAATCTCACATTGGCTATCAATCAATTATGAATCCATCTGATAGTGGGACCACCCATCCCACATTGCTCCAGTTTGGTTTTCAAAAAGGAGGTTATGGTCTACTTTATCAAAGGCTTTACCTAAGCCTGCGGAGCAAAAGTACAATTCTGTAGAGGCCTGAGTAGGTCAGATGCAGGTCATCATGTGAAATTTTGCTTTTAACTCTTTAAATAGAGACTTTTATGATTGAACTTTGAGTTTTTATTATTTCAGTTGAATAGTACTTAACAGGATCTCAATCCTGTCCTTGGAATCAAACAATATTATATTATGGATATTATGGTTCATCTAAATTGTTACTTTTATACCTCCTTCAGAGTCACTTTGGGAAATAGGTAGCCTTATGATTTTTTTTTTTAAAAAACCAAATGATTCAGATTATAATTGAAGTGTTCTATAGTTATTTATTAGTAAAGGAGGGTATAAACCAAGAAAGGAAATAAAAACAGATATAGCTGATATTGTGTGAAAAGCATTGATCCACAGGCTTTTAAAATGAGAGAATAATCATTTTGATTCACATTTTAGTTTAAGCTATCTGGAATCTCATTCCCAGAAACAGAATAGAAGTCCTCTTCAGATGTTACAAACCCACCACACAGATATATGTGATACTGGATGTAGCCCTCAGGTATCAACTTGAAATGATTTTTTTCAGAATTGTAAAGGCAAGCTGAGCATAATTCAGGCTAGCTTTAGGCATACCTGTATAATTTTCTTGGCAGCAGCATGGAAGAGATCTGCTTTTGCCTTTTCAAGAAGATTTATCTCCTAGTTTCCAGGAAAGCCTACAGGTGACCTACCATTCCTGCCTTTTGAAATTCCCAAATTCAGCTAGATGTGTCCCCATGTGTATATTGGGAGATACACTTATAACTTGAGAGTTTCACCATTAGCACCAATATATTTAAGGAGAGACAGAATTATTTCAGTAGTTTATCTGAGGAATTTATGGACATAATATAGAAAGGATGATCTATGACCATGAAGTTGCTTTTGGGAAGACAGTAAAACTACAATGAAATGGAAGTCTTTTTGATATCTCACCCAGCCCAGTTTTAAACCTTAATGTTGTGTATTTGGGGCAGTGGAGACAGATTGGAGGTATGCAGCATTTTGGGTCTGAAGCTGGCAAGGGGTATAGGCATGGGATGCGCTCAGCGCCTTCTTCATCAAATTCATATTTTCTCAGGATTGCTTATATCTTTAGGGAGCTGTTCATAGGTGCATGCAGGCCTTCTCCAAAGCATCTCAATGGCTTTGCATCAGTGGTGGGATTCAATTTTTTTTTACTACTGGTTCTGTGGGCATGGCTGGTTTGGTAGGCATGGCTTGGTGGTCATGTGACTGGGTGGGCATGCTGGGTGGTCATGTGATTGGGTGGCCAATTTGACATCACTTACGTCAAGGGGTACCTTGCCTGGCCTGTCCTCGCCTCAGAGATACGATTTCCCTCTCTATTTATTTATTACTACTGAACATCCAAAATACACTATTTAATCCTATGTATATATGCCATATGCATACATACATATTACATAGTATAGTGTGTGTATAGGCACACAAAAAGATACGTTATCTACTATATATACTGCGTGTATGTACACATACATACATACACACTCAGAACTCTTCTAAAACTATACACATTCAACCTCTTTGCGTTTGGAAAAATACACCCATAGTCCACTTTCTGCCACACATTTAACTATAACTTCTGTACATTAGAACATTGTACATGCCTTCAGATTTACTTCCCTAGCCTGCATATGACCGTTAGACCCAGGAGATGTCATGGATTGAGTAAAATGTGGTGAAACCCACTTAACAACACTCTTGCTTAGCAACCAAAATTTTGGGCTCAATTGTGGTCATAAGGGAAGAACTATCTGCATGGCAGCCTTGTCCCAGTAAACTGCTCTGCCAATTTTCCTCTCTGTTAGAGACACCAAAATAATCCAGATTCCAGATGATATAAGGTCTCCTGATGGAGCAGGGGTTTGGACTAGATGGCCTCCAAGGTCCCTTCTAACTCTGCTATTCTATGATTCTGTAAGGATCTCCTGCTGGAGCAGGGGGGTGGACTAGAACAGGGGTCTTCAAACTGGTAGCTTTAAGACTTGTGGATTTCAACTCCCAGAATTCCTTCTCCAGTCATGTTAGCTCAGGAATTCTGGGAGTTGAAGTCCATAAGTCTTAAACTTGCAAAGTTTGAAGACCCTTGGACTAGAAGATGACTTCTGAGATCCCTTCCAGCCCTAGATTCTTGTGCTATTTCAAAGAGGCTTCTGAAGCCAGGTTTGTGTCCTTCCTTCCTCTCCTTTCTCTCTCTCTCTGTCTCCCTCCTTCCATGTATCTATCCATATATCTCATTTACTTTCTCCTCCCTCCCTCCTGCTCTCTCTTTCTTTCTCTCCCTTCCTTCCATCTCGTCTTTGTCTATCCTTTTCTCTTTCTTTCCCTTTTCTTTCTTTTCTTTCTTGTCTCTTCCCTCTCTCTCTCTTTCTTTCTCTTTTCCTCTCTTTCTCTCTCTCTCTCCTTCTCTCTCTCTTTTCCTCTCTCTCTTTCTCTCTCTCTCTCTCTTCCCCCTCTCTTCCCATCTCTCTTTCTTACTCTCTCTTTCCCTCTCTCTTTCTCTCTGTCTTTCTATCCTTTCCCTTCCGCCTTTCCTCTCTCCTTTTAAAGCTAGGAGAGGAGACCCACCTGAAAAATACACATACACATGCTTCCAAGTGCCCATCTGAAACACACACACACACACACACACACACACACACACACACACACACAAGCTTTCAAGCACCCAGCAGCATTGCTCCTTACAAGGGTTCTTCATGGCCAGTCTCCTATCCCGTGTTGCCTGGGAAAGCCAGCAGGCAAGACTTCTGGGTCCAACAAAGGGGCTGCCCCTTTGAGACTTCCAAAAACTTCCTCCCCTCCCACTTTTGGGGAAAGGAAAGGGCTGGGAACTTCAAACGAGGCATGTGCTGCAGCCTCACTCCCCACACTGGCAACTCTGGGCTAGGGAGTGGTTTGACTTTCCTGACTGTCTGAAATGTGACTGTTGTAGAGCGATGGTAAGGACGAGGCATGAGACCAGAGCGTACAAGTAACAGGCTTTATTGCAATGAATAAAGGGTTGTCGCGTCTGCTAGCTAACTCGCAGACCAGCGGGCGACAACGGGCTGGCTCTGCTCGACAGCCGGCTTATATAGCCGGCTGTCAAACGGAGCCAACCAATGGGAGCTGCTGGTGCTCCCGCTCAAACAGCGGACCTGGTTGGGAACTCCAACCAGTTCCACAGACATAACAGTGACCTTCCTCCTGCAGCTGGTGGAAGAGGGAAAAGCAAGCCAGCCAGGTCAGAGCCATCACCAATTGGCTCCCTGCCAGCCCACACCTCATCCTCTGCCCCGATTCTTTGGCAGCTTCTGGGGCTCATCTGCCAGGAGGTGTGGGGGGGGGGGGCCCAACCAGGAAGCATGAGGCTATTCTGCCTGCATCGCCCAGGGCAGCCGCCCTTCCCTCACTGAATGAGCATGTTGGCAATTGTTGTGGGTGGGTGGGGGAGCTTAATTTGTTCAACTTCTACCTATCCCACCATTAGGCACCACAAAAAAAGGAGGAGATTAATACGGTCTGACAAGAAACAAGAGCAGCGGGGAAGATGTGAGAAGCAAAGCCAGAAAGTGAAGCCAAGTCCACACTCCCGCACAAAGCCCCTCACCTGCCACATGTGCTCGGCCTGTCCCCCACCCCACTTCACTCCCACAAACCATTTCCTTGGCTTCCCAACCATCTTTCTACAAAAACTTTCCCCACATGACCCTACTAGCAAGCTGTTTAGTTATGCCTCTTTTGGCAATAAGGAATATTGAGGATACCCGGAAAGGTGGAAAAAGGTTGCCATGCTCGCCCTTTCTCCTAGTGCTCACCCACGCCTGCGAGTTGCTGGGGCTTGCCTGCTGGGAGGTGCAGGGGGAGGGGGCGACCAGGAAGCATGAGGCTATGCCACCTGCATCACCCAGGGCAGCCGCTACTCCATCGCCGGGCCAAGCGGCAGCTACCCCTCCATTGCCGGGCAGAGTGTGGGCTGCTGCTGTGACATTAGTGTGAGCTCCATGGGCTGGAAGGTATGGCTGATGGTGGGGAAGGAAGATCTGCTCTGGTGAGGCTTGACTGCCTTTCGGACCCTGCTCTGGGCTGCCACTTGCTCGACCTCCACCACGCCTTGGGTCCTGCATCAGCCCGCAACAAAGGGACATGCCACTTCCAGGCTAGCCTGCCCGGTGGATGGTCGAGCAGATGACCCTTGGGGGAGGCATTTTCTCTCAGGCCTCCCACATGGAAGGCCCCACAGAAGCCGAAGCTGGGCCTGAAAGGCAGTTGAGCCTCATCATGCCTCCCCCCAGGCAGCCCTTTGGCTGATTGCAGCAAACCTGGTGTGAATCTTTCTTCCCAACTATCAGCATTAGGGCTCACTAACAGCATTCTCAGCAGCTGCCTACACTCGCCCAAAGCATGCATGTCGGCAGAGAGAGAGGGAAGGGGCAATGCGAGCAGCATAGTGTTGTGTTCCCTGGTTGCCCACCTCCTCCCATATGCCCCTAGCAGGCAAGGCCTAGCAGTTGTGGAGAATCCAGGCAGGGGGCAAGATCCAGGCTGGTGGGGACCCAAGTGGCAATGGGTCACCTGGATTGCCTTCCTCTCTGCCACCAGCAAGCCAGGCAAGCTGGAGGTGGGGGCAGTGGGGGGGGAGCTTGCTGGGCTGTGAGTGTCGCCTAGGATGGGGCCATGCCGGTGGAGAAGCCAGCCAGTGGAGCCCAGGAAGGGGGGCCCCTGCCAAGATCTGGGAAGGGGGGGCCTAGCGGGACTTACCTGTGAGCAGCAGGCAGATCAGGGCTGCTCAGTTGAGGTGCAGGCACCACATGGGAAGGCTAGAATGGCAAGCCACAAGGACCCAGCATGCCTCAGGAGGGGAAGAGTGACTGGGCGGGGCGAGCTGTGTGAGCAAGCATTGGGTGAGTGGGGTAAGCGAGCAAGCAACGACCAGGTTGGGGGCATGGCCATCTAGAAGTTACTACTGGTTCGGTGACCCATGCCAAATCTTTCCTACAGGTTCACCGATCCGGAGCGAACAGGCTGAATACCACCACTACTTTGCATCCAAAACATTGCACCTCCTTAATTAAAATATGGAGCTGGGACTTGGAAAGACTCACTTTTCAAATGCTTTTCTCATCATGATAACCTACCAGATAATTTTATTTATTTATTGGTTCAATTTATATGGCTCTTCTGAATCGGTATGGCTAACATTTAAAAAATAGGGAAAAAAACCCCAGCAAGATAGAAAAAAACAGAAACCAATACACATAAAACAGCAATCCAAATAAAAACAAATCTATCAGTACATTGATATAACCAAACTGGGGCCAGCCGCACTCTTTTATCTCACGATCTGACAGTGTTGGTGCTGTAGGATTAAAATTGAGATCTCTATGTAAGCTCCTCTCTGGCTTCTAGTGAACAGCAGCAGCTATGTCTAACACATGTTTATGTTGTGATTTTATAAGGCATATTGGATCATGTAATAACAGTTAAAAAAAGATAGAAGAACCACAATAATCATGTTTTCCATGTTTTTGCTTTTGCCCAGTGTTACGTTAATTTTTAGTTACACAATTCAGAAAGCTGTATATAATTTCCATGGAGTTGTCTAAATACCTAGGAGATATGTTAGAGTCATAAACATATTGGGGGGAAATAGCCATCAGACTCACTTTTTTCTTCAGGCTTGATGCTTTTTTCAGTTGACCATTGATAACTGTTTCAATCGGTTTTCAGAGCCCTTAAGCAAAGACATTTTCATCTTTGCAAATCCTTCACTGAAAAATCACTAGTAGATAGGAGGAAGAAACACAGCTTGGATGCCAGGGAAAAATACTCATAAATTTTTTTATTTTGTCCTGAAATCTTCAGAACTGATGAATTAATCAATACAAAGCAAGATCAAACTGAAAATCAGTTCCCAAAAATTCATCTTGTAAAATAAGGAAATTTAGTAGGAAATATATTTTTGTCAATTGTGATAAGTGGTAAGTTTTTTTAAAAAATAAATAAGCTGCTAAAGAATTGTTTTGCATCTCAAGGATTAGCAAAACAATACATATTCAGTAAATGGTAAACAGCAAACAGCTGTGCTCCCTTGCTTTCTTTTTCTACTATCATGCTTGAATGCTGTAGTATACTTCAGAGCAATATGAGAATGTAATGTAATGTAATGTAATGTAATGTAATGTTTTATATGTATATATATTTCTTAAGTTTTCGTGGGTACTTACATGTATGGTATTCAGCTTTGTTTGAGTATTTTCCCATGTCATTATAGTTGTGCTTTTAAAGTTGTAGAAACGTTTCGGCAGAATCTCATCTGCCATCATCAGGCTTCTGTATTGTGTTCATCTGTGAGTCAGGCTTTTACAGCTGTTTCAGTTTTAAATTTGGGGCTAGCCTACTGCTGTGCCAGAATGGTTTTTTCTTCATCCTGATTGGTTGGGAGTCTTGGTCTGTGTTTATTGGTCTTGGAGTTTGCTGTGTTCTGCTTGATTGGTGTTTCTAATATCTTCAGTCTGTTTTGTGGCTTTTTTTGTCTTGATTGGCTGGCAACATTGTGTTTCCTGTATTGGAGGCTTTTAGTGCGGCTTGGCTCCGAGTAAATGGACGGCTATCATTTATTAGGAAGCTAGGTTTCATCTGGGTGCCTGGTTGGGGTGTGCTTGAGCTGGAAGTATCAGGGGGGATCTGTTTGTGCCCAGGTGTTTGCCTGGCTTGTGGTGTGGAGATTTTTTTTTGTTTGTGAGTGCAGGCTTCCAAATAATTGACAGTCTGGTAGAATCATCTCTTCTATTCATGCTTTCAGGTCTTTTTTCAATCTCTATGGCTTCTCTGATAATTCTGTGACTGGAGTTTTCTATAGTGGCTAGGGTTTTGCTGCCATTGAAGTTGATGCTATGACCTGTGGCTTTCATGTGTTGGACCAGTGAGGAAGTGTGTTCCAGCTTTTTTACTGCATTTTTGTGTTCATCTAGGTGGGTACTTATTTTTCTTTTGGTCTTGGAGCCAAGCCGCACTAAAAGTCTCCAATACAGGAAACACAATATTGCCAGCCAATCAAGACAAAAAAAGCCACAAAACAGACAGAAGATATTAGAAACACCAATCAAGCAGAACACAGCAAACTCCAAGACCAATAAACACAGACCAAGACTCCCAACCAATCAGGATGAAGAAAAAACCATTCTGGCACAGCAGTAGGCTAGCCCCAGATTTAAAACTGAAACAGCTGTAAAAGCCTGACTCACAGATGAACACAATACAGAAGCCTGATGATGGCAGATGAGATTCTGCTGAAACGTCGCTACAACTTTAAAAGCACAAAAAATATCAGCTGCTGTCATTTTGGGGAGATATTTTCTGAAAAAAATTGGAAATAAGAGCTGATGAAAACAATCTGTACAATCGTCAGAATCAGAGGCTGCTAGTAAAAACAATAATAAGTTGCATAGAGGTTATTCCCAACAAGGGTATACAAGGGTTTGAAACATGTGTTTCAAAAAGGTCAACATGATTTATGGAATTTTGTTATATTGCTTTATGGTATTTTTAATATAATCTGTTCTGCGATCTATTAGGTAGATCATAAATATTTGAATAATTTTTTAAAAATGGCTGGTGACAAATGGTGTTGATGAACGTCTTTGCTTCTGGAAATCCATAAAAACTCCACATCAGATGAATAAAGAAATAAATATATCATGGAGCATTTTTTTCCCTTGCATTCTCATTGACACAGTAAAGCCACATGACAAGAATTTCTCAAAGAATATACTCAATTGATTCTCTTCCATCTCTCTTCTCAGTTGAGGCTTTACAGTCACAGCAGGGCTGGCAGAGGCTTTTGCAGTCACAGCAGAGCTGACAGAAAATCAACTTCAAAAGAAAAAAAATTTTCTGAGCGAAATTCTGTGGACTGGCCTTGGTCTCTTCAATAGGCTCCAAGTAGCAATGATGAAGATAGACTGCACCACTCTACTGAGTAGTTAATTCATACCTGGAGAGAACTCCAGCTTCTGTTGCAAAACTCCTGAACAGCACAACTGTTCACAGAAAGTGAAGGAAAGAACTACCTATAACTAAAATTAATATCAGCACTGTTGAGGGAAGTATTGGCTTCTTGTAAAGTCTTGACTGTATCTGTTGCTTTGTTCCTCTCAGCTGCAGAGGGAAGCTTGTGGAAGAAAAAGTATGCCTGTCTATGGAAGGGACATGCATACTGATGGAAGAAACAAAGCATCCCACACCAATTAAATTTTATTTAACTATCTTAGGAGGCAACAATTACCTCAAACCAGCCTGCTTTGACTAGATTACTGGAGTGGTGGAACCAATTATATAGTGAGATAGTGAGCTAGATGTATTTTAGCAGGCACCCATCTGTTGAGGGTGTTTTAATTGGCATTAATTTGGATTTCTGCACTTAGCACAGTTGGACTTCATGGCCCAAATGGCATCTTTTCAGCTTGAAAAGATTTTGCTACTGAAGTTCAGGGTCTTTTGCTAAACAGGGACAGGTTTCATTAGCTGTCACTAAGCTAGTGTCAACTTAGCAATATTTAAAGGGTACAGAATTATGCTACTTTCAGCTTGGTTGAGCTTCTTTACATATTTCAGCTTCAGAGGCTATCACACTGCTGTTATTCTGAGGCAAAATGTCAGTAACATGCCATATTAAAGGGCATATAGTCGATAGTACCCTTCCCTTCTTATTTGTCTTTTGTAATTCACCAATCACTTTTCCTGTCAAATTTTACAGTTTTCTCTTTTTGAGACAATCAGGAATGATTATGGTACTGTTTGCATTATCATTCCTGCTGGGATGATGAAAAAAGAAGTGAATTTATGTATGTCAAACTGGACAAGAGTCATGACATTTTAAAATTTGTTTTCATTCTTCTCCAACCTTTGGATGGGCAAGCAAGAGGCCTGAAAGTTGTGAGCTATAAAGTCTTGTGTTTGTTGTAGCCAGACAGGAGAGTGGCATCTCTTGCCTAGTTAAACAACTAAACCGGTGCTTTCCCATTCTTTTCCTTCATTGCCCAAAGTTTATCAGAAAGTTCTTATTTAAATGTCCTTATTGTGATTAAGTAATGAGTTCATGTGTCATTACTCAAAGGAAAGACACTTTTACTCAATTTTAAATTTATCCAGGTTCAGGAAGCAGTGAACTGAACCAAGCATGTTAGCACACATCTGATGGGCTGTCTTAAAAGGTTGTTGTGTTACATTTTAATTAAAGGAGTACGGGCTCAGAGATTGATTTATCCAGTATTGGTCACTTCATTGTGTGAAACATAAGATCAGATCTTGTCCCTCAGAAGCCCTCTTATATCTAATTTACGGTGATGAAAAAGTAAGATCAATGGTCTCTTGAGGCTGCAATCAAGGGAAGTGGGCATCAGCAGGCTATCTAAGCACTCAGCCATCTCTCTCACCTTCTGAGGTTGTGGTGTAGGATTAATTTCTCTTGGAGATGAAAAGCATTTTCCTCTCATTCACACTGATTGAACAGAAAAATAATTATGGGTTTTTGCATATTACATAGTATTAAGTCATTATTTGTTCATTTATTTTTAAATACATTTTATTAGAAATTTTCAATGTAGTTAAATATAAAGAAGAAATACAAAGATAGAAAATAAGAAATAGGAAAAAAAGAAAAAAGCATACAATTATGCCTTCTTTCTATTGAGCAATCATCATGTTCAACTTTTCTCCAAACTTTTTGGCTTTTTAAATCCCCAAATCCTGAAATAATCAATTTGATTCCCCCCCACCCCACCCCCCAGCAAAATGTCCATATAATGTTTCCAGTCTTTCAGAAAATACTTTATCATTTTTTAATCTGAACTAACTGGTTACCTTCACCATTTCTGTAAGTCTTATCTGTTTATTTGAGCC